AACTTCCTTAGATTCCTCCCATCCCAAATGACACTGAGATCATGTGGGTAAGGAAGCTGTGCAAGGGGGAGCAGGACTTGGGACACCAGCCTATCATTCCTCCCTACTTAAGAACAGAGTGCTTGTTCTGATTCAAACTTGAAAAATACGTATATATACACTACATATATATAAATATATATATGTATATATAAAAAAATACATATAAATGCATCAGTTTTTCCTTTTGAAGCCTGTCAATGTGTAAAATAACTAAGTGGGCTGCAGGCTGGAAAAGCTTTCAAAGTGAAGAAGCTGGTGTTCAGCCTCTCAAGTTAATGTCACATGTGGATACTGGAAAGAGCTGCTGGTCCCTCCGATCTCGTTTTCACGCTGGTGCAAGGAACGAAATGATCATAAATTTGGAACCAAGTTCATGGGATTTGAATTTAACCCCCATTCAGACAATAAAGGTGACCCTCTAGGGGAGTTTTCTCTTTATTTTAATTTGGATAGGAACACTCAGAAAAGGTTTGTCCAAGGCCCTGTGCTGTGGGGAAAGGTGGCAGCTGAGTAAAGGGATCATCAGAGTGAGACCTGACGGTGCAAACAGAGGTTAAAAGGAGTATGATGGGACCAGATCTGAGAGGAGAATCATTTCAGAGAGTTATTTGACATCACAAAGCACTTTATTTTCTTTCCCCCACAATAAACTTGAATGCTCTTAATGACAGAAAATGAGATCCAGCAGGTGTAAACTACAGCAGTTAAATATTCATGAGTGAAAGTAAAAGCAGGAACTGAATTTAAGTCCGGGGTCAGTACAGGGTAAGATTCTTCAGGGCACTGAAGCAAAATAGCTGTCAGACTGCAGTGCAGACAGTGATGAAAGGACAGCTTGAAAGAAAATGGTAATGGCCAAAGTCAGCTTATAGATAAAACTATGAGGAAGAGACAGATTGAAAAATGTTCTCTCAATGTGGCTGAACCATTTCTAGGGATGTGAAATTCTTTGCCAGAGAATTCAAAAGCAGCACAGGAATAAAATTCCAATGAGATATGAAGACGTGGAGGGTCTGACTTCTGACCTTCTGCACATTTCCTGAGATCATTTCCTTGGTCACTGTTGATAAACCTGCAACCTTTCTTGCAAGTAAATGTCCCGAATCAGAAAAACTAATAAAAATTCTGAGGAATGGTTCTTCTCCCTGATTTTCATCTAGGGAATGTCACTAGGAAAGGAAAGCAATCCTGAAAATGATAAAACACTGAGATCAAACATTTAAAGTAAGAAAAATAAGCTGGAGAATTTAAACTGAGACCTGGCTCTGTGGTATGATTTGAAGAAACAATTTTTTTCCTGATAACAAAGCAGGACTGATTCCATTGAAGCCTGAAACAACATCTTTGTGTGTTAGGACAATTTGATGATGTGTTCTAACAAGAAGTTCTTCCAGAGATTGTGTGCAAAAGTCAGGATGTCAGATGTTGCCAAAGACTTAATACCTTTAAAATAGCAAAATTTCAAGTAATGTGGCCTAGAAGTGCTTTGCAAAACCAGTGTTCAGTAGAGTGAATCCGGAAGGGTTTCTTGTTCCAAACATTTCTGTACCATTTTGTACCTGAAGAGCATGAGTTGAAAAAAAATGGTTAAAAAGTCTCCTCCAGTTTGAGTAAGGATCTCAGCTGGGTGTGTGTCAAGGGAATAAACACAACTGCCTTCACTTATAGAAAGCTTCACCATCTAATAATATCTAGGTTAAAAAAAAACATGGCATAGATACCCATTAGAGCACAGCTTTTATTTTTATGGATTGTGAACCCTTCATATCCTGTAGCAGCTGTCAAATGTGTTCATCTACTTCTCTTGTTGGTACCAGCACCATACCCTCACCTGTGTCACCTCCCTCAAAATTATTGCATAAGGAATATGGAATATTCCACCCTCTTCATGTTTAACTGGAAAAGAATCATTAGTGCATCTCTGCATATAAGTCTGTGATTCAAATATTTTAATTTTTTGGTGTGTATCTGACACAAGCAGCATGGCCAAAGTTTTGTTAGGTCTTCCAAGCCAGACCAGCTCTCAGGAGGAGATGGCTCCTCTCTGCTCTTGGAACTTCTCAGGATGGAGTTCCCAATGACTTTCAGAAGGTTTCAGGGATCAGGACTTTTTCATTTTATCTATGAGTGCACACACTTCTAACCTTCCCCTTGCAGAAACTTGCAGCTGACAGCCCTCAATTTACTGCAGTGCTGGGAAACTTGGCACAGACAAAAATCTCAGGCTGGGCTATTTTAAGCATGTCAACCAGGCTCCATAAAGAAAAGGTGTAATCCCTTCCAGACTGTTCAAATTAACCCCTGAATTCCACAGCTAGTTCAGAAATTTAGGCCTTTGGATAATATGTTTGGGCTTTGATTATTTGGTGCTGGTTTAGGTTTTTTTAATCAGAAACAGGAAGAAGGTCTCCAAACTTACTGAAAAATTTATGAACAGAGAAAATGGTATCAGATCTATTCACTGATCTCCTGCTTTATATTCTGTCAGGTTTTCTATTCTTAGCAAGATAAATCTGGATTTTTGATACTAGTTATAAAGATGGGCTTGAAGTTGTCTTCATCTTTCAAGCAAAGTTACTTGCTTAAATGTTGGATCTTTTAGGCTGTTTCATTACCGTCTTGGCTATTTGTTTGTTTGGTTTTTTTTTTTAATAGTTATGTGTAATTCTTATTTTTCTATCAGAGCAATAATATCTTAATCTTCCTGAAGTATTGCCTAAAGTGCCAAGTTCCTTTTCTGCAGGAGGATTTTAGAGGCTTGCAGAGAACTATCTTTTTGTTCAAAAACCCCTTCTAAAGCAGCAGCAAACATTGCTTCATACCACTGCTGCTTTACTGAGACATTGTCTGCACAGAGGGAAGAAGCACGATAGACAAAGAACAGCTCTACATGTTTTTTCTCATTCTTTGTAACAAATTGAAATAATTGAACTGGGAAGTTCTGGTAGCTGATTTCAGACTGTTTATTTCCATGATGAGCTACTTCTGGGAATGCAGGTCTGCTGGTAAGATTCATAATTTGAATATATTTGCAAATGACCTCGTGCTCCCTGGAATCAGGGAAAGTAATCCCAGTTTAATGTGGAGTGACTCACAGAGCTGGTGAGACCCCCAACACTGGTGCTCTCTGGTTTTGGGGGGGGGTTCCATACAGGGAAATCCCTTTCAATTATTCAAAGCATTCCATTCTCTGGCTTTGTTTTTGCCATTTATGGCTCAAACTTGATGGTGTCGATCATGTAACAGAAGCACGTGAACACAATTAGCATGTTTAATTACCTGTCTTGTTTGGGGATGAACACCAGCCCTGGACTGAAATGAAAGTCCAGACTGCCTGTGGTTTTAAAAATATAACATGACACAAGAAGCAGCTTGTATAGCAGCTTGAAGGGTGCAGTGGATGGTAGTAGCTAAAATATTGCAAAAGATTTAGGTTACTCCCTAAGACACTGATATCTCAGCATTGTACACCTGAAAGTAGGGTTGGGAACTGCTGGTATTCCAGCCCTGGGAAGACTGGATGATGGAAAAGCCAATCAATGAAAAAAGTAGTTTTAAATATGTACCAGTATCCAGAAAACAGGTGAGTGAGCTACAGAAATGGCTGCTAAACTATTCAAACTATTCCAATAAAAATTGCCTTTAACAGTCATGGTCAGTAAAAAGCAGGCAGGCAGTCCAGCAAGAGAAATCTGAGGCCTCTGATCAGTATGTATTCAATAAGGATCCTTAAAAGGTGTAATACTGAAAGATGTGCCACAGAGGTATTGTTAAAAGAGTGATTTTTACTTCAGTTTCTCCAACTGACTTGGGACAGCAGGATATACCTTCCCCCAAAATAATGTTGGACAGGGCTGGATCCCAGTTTTGGTTCAATGGGTGTGTCAGAACGGTCCCTTCCCAAAAGTCTGGGAATGCCAGCTTAGTAAAAGTGTGTTTAGGGGGAGTTTCCATTCCCACAGCTGAAATTTGAAATGGCTCTTCCATTTTTGCAGCTGTAGGTTTGTTAGGCACCTTCCAGGCCCGTATGTACATCAGAGCCTTCATAAGAAACCAGGATTCCTCTCTAAAGGCGGGAGGAATTCTATTTGCAAGGATTGGAATGACTCAGGGGTCTTTGAAAGTGTCATTGGGTTCATTTTAAAGCAGTCTTTTTTCATCTGGTAACCTTATGTAGTGTGCATCCATGGACGAAAGGAGTCGAATTCACTGTCTAAATGTTAATACACTAAAGAAATGAGAAAAATTGACCCTATCCTTGAAAAATCATTACAGTAAGGTAAATCACATTTAGTATGACATCTGATGAGCTAGAAATGAAGCTGTCATCAAGTGACTTAAACCAAGAAAGCACTAGAAGACGTTCTGGCTCTCCTGAGATTCCAAATATTACTTGAGAATATTGGTTTTCCATTATTGACTCTTCTAGGCTGGGCAGTGTTCATGTATCCCAACCCTGGTGCCCAAAGCCCTGAATGCATAAGGATATGCCCTCGTTTCTGAGTTAATTTTGCAATAGATGTGTTTGGCATCCAGCTCATGTACATGATTTAATGAGCTCTGTGTAACCTACCAAAAAAGCAAATGTGGTTAGAGCAGTTCTTTTTGCTCCCCCACTCAAACGTTATGGAACACTGGGGAAAGAAATGGAGCATTTATGACAAAATTTTCAGCCTGTTTACATTTTTTGGATGAATGTTAGTTAGAGGCAGAAGCCTGGAAACACTGGGTATTATCTTGCATTTATAAAGTAGATACTGTTCCAAAGGATTCCCAAGCATGTTATAAAACTAAATGTGATTTTCAAGAGTAAGTTTTAGATAAGAATTAAATCTGCTGGGGAAGGGAACAAATCAGATGAAGAAAATCTATTGCCCCGTTCTTCAATGTATGTACAGAGAGTGGTAGGATTATTTTTCTCTCCACTGATAAATATATTTGCCACTCTCATTTTGCAGTTTCCATCAGAAGACTTTAAAACACTTCTGGGAGGTGGATGTCATTGTCCTGTTCTTGTAGAAAAGGAAACTGAGGCAGAAGGAGACAGAATGACTTTTACCACAGTCACACCGGAAATCACTGCAGAGGCAGAAGGGAATCCTGATTTTCCCAGATCCACATCAAATCTTAATTATTACTGGTCTGGCCTATTGGAGGCCAGATTTAAATTGATATAAAACTCTGTATGTGCCCAGGAATCCATGGAGAGAAGACACTTTAAAGTTCCTGAGAGTGTGACTGTGAGTTGTGATAGTTGTGTGTGTGTGGAACAGACCCCGTTTGTTTTACCTTTAGAGCAGCAAGGGGTGGTTCACTGGGGGGAGTGCAGCTGGGTTTGCTCTGTATTGCTGTCCCTTCACAGGGGATTCCCACACTGGATTGGACACTCCAAGATAAATCATTTACTCAGGGCTTCTTCTTTTACTGATTTCACATATTTTATAAAGACCAGCCACAGTGTGAATGTGGAACAAGTATCACTTTTCTTTGGTGCTGTCAACTCTGGAATGTACATCACATCCTGGTCAAAGCTTTATGACGTGCAAGGAAATTTTCAAATACATGCCTGTGTATGTATATTTGTATTTTTTTAAAGAATTTTTCTCTTTTTGAAGACAGTTTTCCCCTATAGATAGGACAACTTGTGTGAAAGATAGCTGAACTCAAATGCTTTGTATTCTCTGTTGCTTTATTAATCATGGTTGGCTGGATGTTTTCTATGGAATCAGCAGATTTCATTTACAGGAGAGGCTTGTTAAAGACATAATCATGCACTGCACAGAAATAACAAAACTCATAACTGGGACTAAAAATTAGTCCTAACTAAGGAATAAAGACTGAAAAGACATAACTACCTCCAGTTGCTACTCTAATAAATGACATCTACTAAGTAATGGCAGTAGAGGATACTATTTAAATTAATTTAGTTTTGAGAGCTGCATTTGAATCTTGTGGGTTGTTGCCACGTTTGGGGTGCTGTGCAGAGAGAAGGTGTCAGACAGTGGCTCCAGTCCCCAGTAAGGCAAGAAATGACCCAGAGGATTGATGCCATCCTGGGTGAACACAGGGGAAGAGAGAATTGTTGAGAAATGAGCTGTAGACCTTTCTTTCATTAGGTGCCTTGAAAGTATGAGCCAAGCTGTGCATGTCCTTGTACAACTCTTGCAATGTGTGATTCCCATTTCTCTGTGAAAATTGGAAAGGAGGAACGATGAACTGATTTGCCCGAGTTTACACAGAATATCTAAATTTAACCAAGGAGTTTCACCTGCCTCTTTTCATTCTTGGCCCATTCCATATCCAATTCCCTACCTTATAGAACCTCACACTTCAATTTGCTAGGACCACAGCTGCCATATGTAATTATTATTTATAGGTAATCAGAAGGTAATTCAGGGTATTATATAGTGCAATATTTCTTCTAAATAGAACTTATCCCTTTTACACAGCTCAGGCTGAGAGCTCTTAGTTGGACTCCTCCTCTCCCTGCCTTTCCCCACAGATCCAGTATATTCCTCCAGAGTGAGAAATTCACTGTTTCACCTGTTCTGGAGTGAAGCAGCTGAACTTTTCATGTTGTGTCTCAGTGGAAAAGGGTACTGTCATTGTGAGGAAGTGGTGTCCTTCTCTGTGAGTGGAAGCTTTTAGAAACGTAGACTATTGTACAGGAAACAAAAGAGATTGTTTCCATAGCTACTTAGGTTCCATCATGAAATTGCTCCTGAGAATTACTGGAAATCAGAGGGTTTGTCCTCCCTGTAACCCTGGAATCCTGTACATATATTGTTCTCCTAAGACTAAGTATAAAAAAAATGAGATGCTTTTCTTTAGAAATCTCAGGTTTTCTGGGAATCAAGAGAGCATGACTGAAAGCAAAAAAAAAAAGGAGGATGCACATGGTTGGGCAGTTTTCATGAAAATTAAATTGTTTTTCAGCAGCTCAGCATTATTTTCAAAAAATTCTTTTTCATGAGAAATATTTTCACCTGAACTGTGGCCAGTGGGATCTCAGAGGCACCTTCATTTATAGTAAGTTATTCTTGTGGCAAAACATAAAATATGAGACAAAGTTGAAGACATTATAACAATCTAAATATGAAATTTATTGTGCAGTGTTTAAGTAGATCAGTATCATTAGGGACTCAGTACTTTGGGGAAGGATTTGACCCCCTTTTTTCCTGAAAAAGAGTCTTCTCTTACTGGCGTGATGCTCCCCTTGAGAATGCTTACACATTTGGAACGACTGAATATGCTTAGAGATAAAATAATAACTGATTACACACAGTGCATTTTTATTAACACTGCAGTAATGCAGGTCACCTTCAAAAATAGATTCCTTTTAGAAAACAAGGAGAATGGCAGTCAAGCTATGATTGTAGGCAAATAATCATCTTAAATGCTTACTGCCTATTTTGTTTTTATAAAATAATATGTTGGAATAAGTCTTGTTTTAATGATGCTGGAGGGAGGTTGGAGGTTTTCAGATAAGAGGAAAAAGTTGGCATGCAATTTTCAACCAGGATTTGTGAATTATTGGTAGTTCTATATAATCCTTGATCTCCTTTGTAAAGTGCTAGGGCTGATACTGTTAGCCCTATTTTACAGATAATGAGAAAGTGGCATGGGGACTTAATAACTTGCCCAGGAAGTTCAGTCAAATTAATTGATAACATACAATATCAAAACAGAAGCAGATTCAGCCCCCACAAATTCAAGCAGAGGTTTGCAAAGCCCCGTCTCATTCTGATGAGAAACCATATCTATTTGTGCAATTGCTACACAGGACTTATGGTTAGCATGTGTTCCACCTCCATGTCTGTCTTCCTGTACTTGTGGTGAACAGAAATTCATGGATTTGTTTTGTCTTTTTGAGGTTTAGTTGTTGTTTGGTTGCATTTTGTAATAATGTTTGTATCTCAAAGAAAAACAGCTGCATACACAGTAATACACAAATATTTGGGGAAATTCTAGGACAGCAGTACAGAAATGCATGGTTTTACCTTGCCCTATAATACTGTTATCCTGTTGCACAGCTTCTTGGCATGACTGTTTCAGAAATGGCTGTGGAACCAATTAATAATAAATTATTGATATTGGCAGCTGCTGTGCAGTTTTCCCCAGCTGTTACTCACACTTAGACACACCACATCTCTTGAACTCTGCTCTAATTTACATAAGTGGCAGAATTCATCATAAAAACAAACAAGGTATTTTTCTACGTCCTTTCAGTTTGATATGGGAAAGTTACTTCCAGGCTCCTTTAGTTAAGTGACAAGCTGATCCTTTCTTGCCTATTCTAATGTCTTAGTGTTGAACTTCCCTTTAAAATTCCATGTTAATCCCCTATGAAGATACTTAAAAATCAGTCTAAGTATTTGAAAGTTTTACAGACAAACCTGGGGTTTAGTTTTCCTGAGAGGAAATCAAGTCTCTCAGTTCAGGCAGGGATTGCTAGAAAAGAGCTGTTCTCAATTGCATGCTCAAAATAAAGCACTTTTAATCTCTGTGTGATATTATTAAACCCAATCCCAAAGGAATTTCTTTCTTAACCTTGTGGTCGGCTCTTCCCCTTTAAGCTGGCTTTGTTTGGAAGGGATCAGGTTCTGTCTTCCCAATCAAAGCTGCTTCTGACTCCTTCTCCGGTCCTGCTCATCCAAGCCACTGCAATCCCATGAGCAGCAGCCACAGCCAATTATGCAGCCAGATGTTGTTTTCTGAGAAGGTAATGAAATATCCCCCCTCAAGGCTACAGTCAAGTCTCTGCTCAGGTACTGGTGCTGTTAAATTGGTAAAGCAGGTGGGAGATTCAGAAGAGAGCGACTGTGTAATCTGCTCTCAATATTCCTTCTTTTCCCAGAGTTCTTTGTTTATGTTGACTGGTGCAGAAGGTACAGGCTTGACAACCTGTTGTCAAGTATCATTTCAATTTGTGTTTTAAGGGTGACTTGGCTACTTCTGTTTGCAGGATGTCTGGGCAGCCATGGGAGGGTCAAACGCTCCCAAATGTTTCCCTGAAACGGTGTCTGACTCTCACAGCTGTAGGATGAATGCCATAAATAATGGTGGTTAAGAGGTATGATGTTCTGGAGTTACTCTAGTGGGAGGAGCAAAACAAACCCCATTCTGTCAGAGAAACAAAGACCTCCAGTTTCCATAGGAGACCTTTATGAGAACGTATCAATCCTTCACCTGCTGGGGCCATTTAAAGAAAGTTCTGTTGCTGTACAGCAGTGCCAGGACTTCCTTCTGCAGGTGCACCCACACACCACGTGCCCCAGGTTGGTGTGGACCCACGGAGGCCAAGGGTCCCCAGCAGGACAAAGGGTGTGGTCACAAAAGTGCAGTAAAGAGGTTTTATTTCTGAAATGCTGGTCTGCTTCTAAATCTGAGAGGATTATTATCTTTCAGAAAGATGGGAATTATTTTCTTTCTGATTTTCTTTTTCCTTTTCATGGTGCTTCAAGTTAAAAACGTATTTTTTAGTTGTTTGCATGTGGCAGTTTTCTGATCTGAGGGAGGATGGATCTGGATTAGGTGGATCTTTCCCAGTAAAAAGCTTTCTGACAATCCCTGAGAATACTGCATTTATATATTTTCTATTACATAGCTGTAAATCTATTACATCATGCCTCCCCACCTTAGTAAAAAAATCAGGGCTCCAGAATGTGAAATGCTGCCCAAGTTTTCTGAATCTTAGCATAACATCAAAGAAAATTCAGTAGCTTTATCCTCTAACACCTTCACACAAAACACAAGTGCTCAGCCCCCATCTGAAACCGCCAGACTGTTATAAAACTAAACTAAAGCTGAACATTAGCAAGTGTGCTCCTCCTAACACAAAAAACCCTCTCGATTTTGCTCAAGATGAAAGTTGTAATTATTTTAAGATAACATACAGCGTTAGCGCCTGTTGAACTACAACATTTATAAACCGTGAGTCTGCTGACAGTTGGCAGCAAGGCTGGATTTTGATTAAGTAGGCAAGAAACACTGGAAAAATGAAAAATTCTGTTGAGCCTCTGTATTTATCTCTTCTCCAGACAGAAGGGTGGGCGAGCAGCTGCCTCCACAGATGAGCCTAATGCTGCTCCTTGGCCAACACGCATTTCAAATGGATTAAAGGAGCCCAGGGTTTATTTTTCTTTGTTTTTCAGGGAAAAATATAGAAAGGGGGGGGAAACGGGAGAGGA